TTTCTTTCTTTCTTTCTTTCTTTCTTTCTTTCTTTCTTTCTTTCTTTCCTTCCTTCCTTCTTTCTTTCTTTCTTTTCTTTTCTTTCTTTTTTGGTTTTTCAAGACAAGGTTTCTCTATGTAGTCCTGGCTGTCCTGGAACTCACTCTGTAGACCAGGCTGGCCTCGAACTCAGAAATCCGCCTGCCTCTGCCTCCCAAGTGCTGGGATTAAAGGCGTGCCCCACCACCGCCCCCAACTCTCATTTTCTTTAACAATAACATTTGTGATTCTGTTGTCTCCACCAAATCAGCCAGGTTAATCTCTCTATGTTAGGTGTAATCTCATCTGCAAAAGCCCCCTATCAGCATATACGCTAATGTGTAGCTGGTCTTTGCTATTCTATGGGTCCTTCTTTATCCCACCTTTCATCCCCCTAGTTTCATCCCCTATCACTAGATAGGAAAGAAAGAAGGATAGAGGGGAGAGAGATAGAGATCCTTGAGTCTAATTTCTTTCTTCTTGTTCCTTCTTTGATCACGACTACTAACAACATGCAATCAAAACCCCTGAACCACCATTTACCACCAACCCCACCTATTGGGGCCCTTGCATTTATATACCCTCTGAAAAATTTCCAGAATTCCAAATGTCCCACAATCACAGAAACCACACCTCCGCTAGTGCACGAGGCAAATCACAGTCAGCTGCTGCAAACAGTCAGAAGCAGCCCCACATCCCCATATGTGGGGTTGAACGAAAGCACAGCCTTATAGTATTTGTGGTGTTTTGTTTTGTTTTTAAGAAACCAAAATTCAGTATAAACTTCCCTTGCTGCTCTATCCTCTCTCTTTCTAAGCTGATCATGACGCCTCTGCAAACACGGTGAACGTTGCTAAGACCCGCCAGACATTCTGCAAGAAATGTAGGAAGCACCAACCTCACAAGGTGACAAGGTACAAGAAGGGCAAGGATTCTTTGTATGTCCAGGGAAAGCGGTGTTATGACAGGAAACAGAGTGGCTATGGTGGGCAGACTAAGCCTATTTTCTGCAAAAAAGGCTGAAACTACAAAGAAGAGCGTGCTGAGACTGGAGTGTGTCGAGCCCAACTGCAGATCTGTGAGGCTGCTGGCTGCTAAGAGACAAGAGCATCATTTTGAACTGGGAGGAGATAAGAAGAGAAAGGGTCAAGTGATCCAGTTCTAGGATGATTCTGTTATGAAGACATAAAATCTTGAACTTAAGAAAAGAAAGAAGGAAGGAAGGAAGGAAGGAAGGGAGGGAGGGAGGGAGGGAGGGAGGGAGGGAGGAAGGAAGGAAAGAAGAAAGGAAGGAAAGAAACCAAAATGCCAGAATTCTCACTACACTAATGTGTTTGCAGGTTCTGGGTATCAGGACGTAGACATCTCAAGGCATGTCAAGGGTTACAGGCCTTTCTGCATTTTTTTTTCCTGTCTACCTGGAGACATACAGAGCTGGTTGAGAGGACAAAAATCACACAGATGTGGTCATCATTGGCAGAGGTACCTTTTATCCTCCTGGGCGTAAGCCTAGAGTCAGACATTCTTTCAGGTTCCACTTCAGACTGCCCGTGTCCCACTGCTACCCACAGCCCAGTGTCTATTCTCTTGGCTGTATCTCTGTCACTCACTGTCACTTGGCCTACGTCAGCACAACTGTGCTACATGTTGTCTTATCCTCAGACCATCTTGATATCTGAAGGCACAGATCACATCTTAGGCCACGAGCCTACTGCAAGGGGCAGATGCTTCTGGCAAATTCTTCAGTCTGACCCAGGTCCAACATGGAAGTCTGGAAAGATCCAGATTCCCATGCAGATTAAACTGGGTGCTGTCCAGCTAGATGGTGAAGGTGAAGTGGTAGTCACAGGAAGGCAGTGTTGAAATTATTTGATTCTTCTGCTTCATCGGAGGCAGGGGCTGTTCTGATTGGATACTAACATCTTATCAACAGGCAGTGGAGTAGGACAGCCAAAGGAGCAGAACATTTCTAGTAAGAGCTTCAGAAACCTAGTAACAATGTTTTACTTCCCCGGGAAGCATGCTGGGTTCCTCAGAAGGAGCCACTGACCATGGGCCTTTAGTCAATGATGGCTCTGACTTAGGGAGGACAAGTCTGGAGCTGAGTCAGCTCCTGGACACCTGGCTGGAGGAGATGACAGGGCCAGAACTGAGCTGGTCTACAAAATTCTTCAAGGTCTCAGTGATTATAATGAAACTAACTCAGCAGCCAATCAAAATTGTACTAATGTTGCTGCTTTGCCCCTACCAATCATATTAGAGATTACCTAACCTTTCTGGAAAATTCCCCTAGACCTGCATAAAAGGGGTCTGCAAACCATTTTGGTGAATGGTTGACCCCTGCATGCTGGTAATTTCTGCAGAATAAATGCTCTTTGCCTTTGCATACTATTTGAGTTTGCGGTCTTCCTTCAGTGATTCTTGGATTCATAGATATATAATTCCTGGTTATGCAGGACTCCAGCCTGATTCTTCAGCCTCCGTTCCCTAACCCGCAAATCTGCAAGCTCTTTCTTGCCGAGTGCAAGCAAACTCTCTAGTTGGAGCAGCTGCTCTGGTCTCCCTGTATAGTATAATGCTGATCTCTAGCACAGTAAACCCACTCAGGATAGACATTACACCTTTTATTTCTCTTGCAAGCAGCTCTTCCAGGAAGCTCATCAAAAGAATAATGCATACTTTGTTGAAATGGGTTAAAGTCCTAACAGTCTGGGTGCTGGAGAGGTGGCTCAGTGGTTAGGAGCACTGGATGATCTTTCAGATGGACCAGGGTTCAGTCCTAGCACCCGGACACCATTCGCCATGGTCTATAACTCTTGTTCCAGGAATCAACGCCCTCTTCTGGCCTCCCCAGACACATACAATTTGTTTTTTCCCACCTGTATTACTATGTTCTTTATTTTTGCAAGGCTGTGTTGTCTTCATACAACTTTTGAATTTATATTTTTCATATAATGTTAGAACAAAAGTTTTTCAAGGTTGTTGTTACCCAGGGACTGACACTCACACTCTCTCTCTCCCTCTC